AAATAGTAGGCCTGTGTCTAGCAACCTATATTATAACGTTACTAATAATTCGGATGAAGTGTTGAGTGAGACAGAACGCAGGCTAGTGTAAAGGGTTTGACATATATCATCAACAAATCCAAGAGCAGAAGAAGAAGGAAACTGCTTTAATAAAATTACCCGCTTCAACGGCTGAGCGTATTTGTGCAGAACTTGTAAACATTATAAATTTTCAGTAATTGGGGGAGCCGCATCTTGCGCCAGAGGAAAGTGTCGCATTAACTGCCCTAGAAGATGATCCGAACATTGCTGTTACAATGGCCAACAAAGGCAAAACCACAGTGATGATGAACAAGTCAGATTATTTGGAAAAAATGAGGAGCATTTGGTGTCGGGACTTTATAAGGTTATCGACAGCAAGTCCCTCATGTCAGTGATGAATAATAATAAGAAATAGGTTGATAATTACTTAAGGATCGTAAAGGGCCTATAGGACAGGGGAAAATGGTACAACACATACCCGAAATCATCCATTCCACCAAGTATATAGCTTACCGAAGATACATAAACCCGATGTACCCATGCGACCTATTGTAGATGGCATAGGTTCCCCGACGCATGAACCGTCTAGATATTTGGCTAGTATCTTGCAAGGCAAATGAATATCTTTGCAAACAACTCTTATGACTGCAAAAAACGTGTGGGTTCTTGAGGTTGAGTAGGATGAAATGATGGTCAGGTTCAACGTTAGCTCGCTTTCGACCAACGTGCTAAGATGCGAAGCACTGGAAATAGCGAAACACCGTCTAACTAGGGACAGTAATCTGGGAGAAAGTACGAAGTTTACGGCAGATCAAATAACGGTAGGAATAAAGTTGTGCCTTAACCTCTCTTATTTCACGTTCCAATCTAGATTGGATACTCAGGAACAGGGAATCGCCATGGGATCGCCAATATCCACTGTTTTGGCAAATTTGTACATGGAAGAATTTAAAAGGAGTGCGCTGACTGATTCTTGTAGCTCATCGAAAATTTGGTGACGCTACGTGAATGACACCATTCTTATCATAAAATAGGTTAAGAAAAACGAGTTTCTAAACCTCGAACACCCTTCCAATGAATATAATTTTAACTATGAAATTAGAATCTGGAAGTGCAACATTGCCATTCCTTGACTGCTTAGTTCACAGTAATTGGGGTAGTCTAAAAACATGGATATATCGTAAGTGGACGGACACAGGTGGTGTACTCCACTATAGTTCAGGTCATCCCAAACATGTGTATGTTGGAATCCTCTCATATCTGTTTCACAGAGCCCATACGTAGTGGAAAAACGAAGAAGATCGTCTGGAAAGAAGCAATGAACCAACTGCTTGATAGTGGATACCCGAAGCGGTTAGGGAAAGGCTAGCTGCACCGAATTTTAAATCCTTACCCGCGGTGTACTACGGAGTGGATTGGGACGGTAGGTATTCCTTTTAAAGATGGAACATCAGAGACCATTCAGAGGGTGTTAAATAAAGAAAACATAAGGGTGATTTCAAGAAGTGCCAAACGCTCCGCTCTACACTAGTGTACTTGAAAGACCCACTTCCCGCGGATAGGACAACCAATTGCGCCTACAAAATTAATTGCAAGGACTGCGCCCACGTGTGCAACCGCCAAACCGAAAGAGACCTACGCACAAGGATAGCAGAACACAAGAGACGCATAATCCGGCCACTGAGAAACGAGCTTGAATAAATGGCTCTAGTACGGAGCTCAGTAGTAGCGATGCACGCGGTAGGTACAAGACATGAGATCAACTTGTATGACGTCAAAATAGTTAGAAAGAGGCTGCGATCAACTCCCAGAGGCTGTCTGCTGAGACGGTTGAGATTGGCAGTGAACAGTTGCGTGAACAGAATGGACAGGGCACAGCTTTCGAGCGTGTAGCGAGCTGTGTTAAGCCGACCAGTCTGAGGGGCGCCGGCGGACGGATCCAGGCCAGAGAATGAACATCACATCATCCTCGCACCCATCGTTAACAGTGCTTACCTGTGTGAGGTTGTAACGCGGACCACTTGTGACCGTTCCATGCACTATTTGGAGTAAGGCTTTGAACTGTAATGCGATTGTCGTGCCTACATCCCATTCGTTACGATTATCATCTTAGTTTGATATAACTGCTCTATCAGTCCTCGACTGGTTCACTCGACCTGAGGAAGCTTTGTATCGAAAGCAAAACGTTGCCCACAAACTTAACCAACCGGTTGTTTTCAAATCTTTCTGAAATCATGAGTTCTCGATCGGTTTCAAGTACTTTCCAAGATGTTGAGGACGCGTTCCTGTTTTACTGCGTCGGAGCTTTTGTACCATTATGACATGAGCAAATCCAAAGTGAACAACGGAGTCCTCATTTATCGATACTAAGGGACAAGCTTGTCAACTTCCGTGTAAATTTCGGCGTCCTCAGACATTTCTCTACTTTTGCAAGAATATGTGCTCGCTGAGATAATTATTGCATATAATGCCTGACGTTTGGCTGGGAAACCAAACACCCTGTGTGGCACGAAGATATCGCCGGTTTGCCAAGTATCTTCCGTGCTATTGGGTCTGACCAAACCATTCCTCTAACCCATGTAGTCTGCAGGATAATCATGCAACACAATTTTTTACAGGTCCGGCCTCGTACGACATACCAAGCGGACCATTTTAACCAACAACAATGGTTGTTGTTGCTAAGACATTAAATGTAGTTAACTATCTTGATGTGTGTCTAGCATATGACCTAGTTTAACACAAAGTGTTAAATAGTTTACAATCTCTACTTGAATTACAAACGGTGGGTATTAAGGTACCACTACGCACTTGGTTTTTGTTATACGTCTCAGCTAGGAAACAAGTAGTACAGATATATAACTATGTTTCTACTCTCAAAACCAATATCTAGTAGAGTAATACAAGGGAGCGTCTTTGGTCTTTCTGGTTTCTTTTTGACGTAAATGATATCTGGCTAAATATTCACTCTTCAAGAGCGCATAAAGGACATTTGACTTGACGTGACTAGAAGCGTGGCAACACTTTCTTGTTCGCAGATGACAAAAAACCGTTTATTTTCACAGATGCGGACACATAGGAGGTTTTACGACACATTCAAGACGATATTTCCTCGCTTAAAATTTGGCGTCATTTGGTGTAACTGTCGTTTCCTGCTGATAAGTGCAATATTGTACCGTAGAAGTAGCATATTCTAGCAAACAGCCTTACTGTACATGGTATGTAAATTTCTCAATGCACATCAGTTCGTGACGTAGGCCTGTGATACTCGTACAAGTTCAACCTCTTAGATCGGTGTGATTTTCAAGTATTAATGTCCAGAAAGACGGCTGGATTTATTTGTCGTTCATCCACACTCCCATAGTCCTTGCTTCGCTTGCCCAAAATATAAGTACTACTAACCAGAATTTATTGCTTAATGGTATGCACAAACATGTAGAATTCAGACAAGATAACTGTTGAACGAATTCAACACCGATATATCAAGAGAAAAATGGGGTGGTTCACAAACTGACCTGCGGTGAGTGCTGTACTTTCATTGGACTGTAGCCATATGGTTGCGAAGAAAAGTAAACCAGTGTTTTATGCTTATAATATGCCAAACACACATCCACACACTCTATATGACGCATAATATCAGGTAACCCATAAATAATGTAACTTGCAAGAACAAAATTACACGGGCGAACACCCGAACGAGAAGAAACTGCTATCTCATGGCATACCCTACGTTGCCGAACAGATCGTTTCAAAACTAAGTGAAGTGCAGTGAATTGCATAAGTTTAAAGTATCCGTCAATAAATAGCTTATTGTGCGAAAAGTCCTAACTAACTTATGGATATCTCAGCCTTTGGAAACAGTAATCGAGGAAAGCTTCAGCGCCGTATATGAGCAGTCTGGCCATTCATCGCGTTTTACTGTTTATGAAATTGAATTGCTTCAATATGGACGCGATGGAACAAGTAAATGTTCAAATTGTCTTGCAGAAAATTGTGACAGAAATCCATCTTGGCACATACTTATATTCATCAATAAGTCAAAAGTCAAAGTAATTCAATATGGAATAACTCTGAATGGAAAACGACGCAAGTTACCTTATCAAAGCATATACATCAATCTGAAGAACCTCTCCGTCAGCAAAACTTCTCGCAAGCATACTCAACTAACTCCAGCACTCAGTAAAACGAATAATTGATACTGACATGCGCTCACCATATGTTTTCACAATGTTGTAACACGCACAAGTACCTGCATACAGCCAACTGCACATGCCGGATTGATTACTCTCCAATCTGTGAACCACTACTGCGTAGCTGTTGATCTGTCCCTATGCAAAAACAGTCTCTCGAACCGTTAAAAATAAAATATTTACTTATTATAAAACCCAATACTGTTCACTATTATCCCTGTTGGGATAGAAAGTTTAGGCCGTGTTGTTACCAGGTCCTATGCTCTGTCATGATAGGTGCATCTGCTTTGTAAAACGTACACCACCAATCTAAAACAAACTCGAAATTAACAGAGGCTTGTACTCATCTGATTTAATAATTTATTTCATGAGAAGAAACATGTAGACCACAGAGGGATTTTCAAGATGCTCATATGGAAATCTTTACAGCGGACTAATGTTCCGGTTCACGAGAACTACCTGCGCTGTGGATTCGGTGCAGTTCTCGAGAGCAGCTGACCATGTGTACATTTAATCAATGCATTATTCTATAGGAAAGTGGATAGAAAGCCATTGACTATGTTTCCTCAAAACCATATTATCTCCTGCGCCTCATTTGGCCTCATAAATCTTCAAACAATATTTACATCTTACTCCACATATCAAAGGCAGCCGAAAATAGCGCAACCAGGCTAACTTCGCAAAATACTCAGTCAACCCCTGTGCGCTTTTGCATTTTGCATAACCAAAACTCTGAGTGATGAACATGAGGAAGGGGTCGTGAAACTTCAGCGTAGAAGGCAATGCACTCACCCAAAACAGTTGTATATTTGGCACATTAGCTTCAGAACAAACGAAGATAATGTTATCTCCCTCGCGAACCCGCAGTCTGTTTGTCTTGTCCAGGAACCTGGTCACAAACAAAGGGGACCATATATAATACGGGGATGTTTACATGTCTATTAATGTATCACATGAATATAAATTTCCTGGTGCCTCTATGGAAGTACATAGGAATGCTGTCTAATATGTATGAGACGGTGGGACCACGATCTAATACGAAGTAACACAATAGGTATTGGTGGAATGCTCTACTTCCAAAGCTATCGGAGTGTGTGAGTGGAAGTTTAAGTTCAAGTTCGAGTGGGACTAAAACGATAGGAGAATCCCGTGAGTTTTCCATCTTGAGTGGATCATTGAGTCAAGAATTGATGAAGCCCAGAGTTCTTGATAGATCTAAAACGGAAAATCCGTATCGCACCCTTGCCAACCAGTTAATGACCACGTTTCTTTTCCTAGCAGCCCTGCTGTGCCAGTCACGCAAAGTAAGCAAAATATAGGAAGAGAAATCGAAAGTATAGAATGAGGAAGTTCGCCTGAAACAAAAAGTAAAACAAATGCAAGAAGAAAAGTAGAAAAAAGAACATCGAAGTATGAAGCTGCGAGTTACTCAGGTAAAGGGAAATGTTTCGTGTCGCCACCCAAGAACGTTAAGTTGCCACTTAAACCCCTAACTGTAGACTCCCTGATAACACTTTCCGGAAGAATGTTCCAGCGCTCGATGATTCGGCGTGAAAGCCGGATTTCCGCCCTAATCCGATCGGACCGCGGTTTGTCCAGCTTGAAGGAGTGACCGCGTAGAACAGACAACCTAGCGGCACTGAATAGCCCAGATAAATCTGGACCAACCTTCCCAGTTAAGATATGGTAGGGTAGGATTAAGTCTCCTCCAAGCCTTCTGTAGTGCATTAAATACATTTCCAAACTAAGTAGACACTCGTGGTATGTTCGTCCCCGTGATCCATAGACCAACCTAGTACCCACCCGTAACTCCCTCTCTAGCTCCATTTTGTCCCGGACGAGGCAAGGCGGACAAGCCTGGACGCAGTATTCCAGATGCCGTCGAACGAAAGCCGAGGACAGTCTCATAAAGATGGCACCAGTCAATACTCCGAAAGAACGTCGTATAAATCACAATATGCGAAAAAAGCTGCTTGTTGCCTACTTCCAGTTGTCGCCGGAGTGTAAAGCCGAAGAGTGTACGACGCCTACATCAAGCTGGCTGGATACAAGGGGCAATTCGACCCCACCGACCAAGTACTTCGTAGGAGGACAACCTCCTCCAATTCGAGGAACGGAGCAATTTGCCTGATTTATTGGCAGTAACCATAAAGTAGACCAGTCCCAAAGCTTATCCAAGCTTCGCTAAATTGCGTCGGAACCCCCAGGAACATTGACGATGTTCCAAAGCTTCACGTCATCAGCAGACAGCAGTGATGGCATCTCAATCTCCGCGGGTAGGTCATTCACATAGAGAACAGCAACGGTCCAAGGGCCGAGCTTAGCGGCACGCCACTGAGGACAGTCTGCCTAAACGATAGGCCCCGGCCTACTCGTACACACTGTTCTCTACCCTGCAAGAAGGCAGTCACCCAATGAAGGGCACGGCCAGATATCCTGTAGTAGGTCAGCTTTTGCGCGAGCCTCAAATGGGGTACCTCTTCAAATGCCTTAGAATGGTCGAGGAAAAGCACGTCCAGTGCGTGACCGTTATACACTGCATCCGCCCAACTTTCACAAGCTAGCACTAGATCCTTCCGAGACGAAAATCCCTGCCGGACTCCGTGTTGTACTTAGATTAAAATTACTCAGATGACGCTCTAATGAGTCTATCACCAGTTTCCCAAGGCATTTGACTAATGCACTAGTCAGGCTTACTGGCGTGTAATTTGCAGGCAGACAGGCTTCTTTTCTCATTTTTCAAGATGGAGCAGATGACAGCTTCCTTGCATTCGGAAGGTAATGCATAGCTGTCAAGCTCTTTCTGAAAAATGATAGCGAGCGGTCCACTTAGTTCCGCAGCCAACTCATGCAACAGTTTCGGGTGAATTAAATCAGGTCAATATGCCTTAGGAGGATTCAGCCCGTGTAACAGTCTACGAACTTCTGTCTCCGCTACAATAAATTCAGATAATCCCGAAATATCTGGGGTCCTGCAAACAGGCTCAACGCCTGTCAATGAGGTTTCCCTTACAAATGCCATTGCATTTTATCTACTAAGTACGTAGGCCTTGGTATAGTCCGTATGAGCACGAGTACCGTCATCACGCACCAACACTGGAATTGACGTGTTCGAACTGCAGCGCCTTTTGACATATGCGAAGAATCTTTTCGGATTCTCTGAAGCTTCGTCTGCTAACTCATTCTCGAAATTCAGCCAAGCATTACTTAGATATTGCTTACATCTATTTTTAGCCTTACGGTACCTGTCATAAGTATCGGTGGATGGAGTATCTGGATAAGTCCGCCAAAATTTAGACCTCTTTGGGAGCAAATGCCTGCAAGTGGAAACTATCCAGGGCGGCTGTGCTCGTGCCTCATTTCTCCATGTCACAGGGATGAAGGGAGCAGAAACCTTTGTGAGGTAGGGGTTAAATTTATCCCAGACAACCTGGACAGTTTCATCGCCTGAGATCGCACAACAGAAAACCGACGCAATGGCTCTCATTGATTCATAGTCTGCGTGCCAAATGTTCGGGCGAGACTCAACAGTACTCTGGTGGCGTCTAGAGAGCGTACAACTGAAGAGCAAAAATACATGACTACTGGAACGCAGTGGCGGTCCATAAGTAATGTCACCAACAAAATCGAGTGACTTAGCGAATACAAGGTCTAAGAGAGACGTTATTTGGGAGTCCGTGTACCTTGTGGAGAGGTCAAAGAACTGGTGCAAAGATACTTGGAGGACAAGGATTCCAATAATTCACTACAGCGCGTTCCTTTTTGTTCCCCACTGATTTATCCAATCATCTGGCGTTACATTTAACACCCATTCTCATAACTTCTTTTATTTTGCCTCAGTGCCTCAGTGTACTTCACCTTGCATTTTATTCTCATGTCTGCAATAAAGACGCGCTCGATGAGAGAAAAAGCATTACAAACCAAGATACTTCCATTTTAGTGCAGAAGATGAAACAGCAAACGAAGTTATTCGGCTGTAAGCAGTAGCAATAACAATACCTGGGTGAGTGCGTGCGTTGCGGGAGATTCCTTTTGGCTCCCTGCTGAGTTAAGGAAGACAAGTGCAGAATGGCCATCAGTGGCTGAAGTTGCAGGTGTCGAACTCTAATTGAAGGTTGACATGCTCAGGTCTATGTTACAATCTATGCACAGCAGCCCTTAACTATTGGTACAATGCACCTTACTCACTGCAAAGTACTACTACTCAGTTTCAACCAAAGTACGAAGCCGAGTACGGTGTTCACGCATCGATTTGTTTTTGAGCGTGCTGGAGAGGCTGCCAGGAAGTGCTTCTTACTGAATGCATTATGCAATCATGCTGGTATAGTTGCATGAGACTAGGAAAAACGCAGTACTTCACGCAAATCCCATGTTTGAAAATGAACTATTTCAAAAGCGAAATCTCATTCTACTTACAACAATTTTCCCTGCTACAACGACAGATTAGGAGGTGACAGACAGAGGTAAACCCAACTTCTAAACAACCATCTGACGCCCCGCATCGAGTTGATTGTGCTGCAATTAGTGGAACAATATTTTTTGGAATATTACACCGCTTGCTTCAGATAAGAATGATTTGAAGAAGAATAAAAAACGTTTTGATGCTTGCAGTGGATCGTATGGTATGCAGACCACTATAGTCCGTTAGCTGTTGGCTCTAGGGGGATGCTAAATCCAGACATTTTGGAGCTCAAGTTAACGGCAGGTGCAATTGTAATTAATGGGAGACCTCCAGGATGCAGCAGTTCCACGGTCAGGCGTGATTAACCGACCAAGCCAAAACGACTACAATCCACAGAGTTTGTGATGTTCATGGTGCTTCCTCTCTGAAAACCAGTTCTGGCAGTCATACAGACTTTTCTCATGATAAGTCATGCATGTGAGGTGGTAAGAGTGTGGTTCAGAGCAAAACAACTGCATTAGCCGCGGAATCGCAGATGCCGACGAAACCAATACCGCAAACCTCGACCTGTCATATCCAACCAAAAGTATACTCTGGCCAGTGTCTAAAACCGTTAAGGATATTGATAGACCCGTAAGCGTATTTGGGCGAGTATTTTCATCGGTTTGTTTGGATAATCAACCAAGACATAGAAGACATTCCACCATGTTTGTATTCAACACACCATGTGTTCGGTTATCACCAGTATGCTATCCCATCTATGGATCACATGTAGTATACTGCATATGGAGTTTGTATTGACACTAGTGTGCCTCCACCGCGTATAGTGAAGCCTTGTGGCTCGAGCGCACGCAAGCAGATTATACGCAACGATGAAAATGACAACTGCCCACTGACTCCTGTTAATGAGCTACGCAATCAACAACCTATAAATGACATGGTGTGGATGACACAGCTTTTCGAACCAGCAATTTCACGTGAGCTTACAAGAAGCTATTCTTTCAATTCTCCAGCTGTCATAAGCTATTAGATAAAGCAATTTCTAGAAAGCCATAGCCACAGCTCCCTTCACTGTGGCTTTCTCAAACTCTTTTTCAAAGATGACAATAATACCCGACATGTGTTAATACTTTCTAGCCTGTGCATAGACACACGGCTTGAGTCCTCAAGGTTTGTAAAGCAAAGCAAACAATCTTCATACATCAAAATATCATCAAAATGTTTATCAAAATTTGTTTTCTTCGTTCTAAGATCCACACAGTGCACCGGTCTATTGGTGTTTGATGTTGTCCTCATATTTATAGATGAATCTTGGTGCCAGAAATATATGTTTGACAATCAAGTAACCACTTTCGGACACAACAAATTAATGAGAAATAAGCCTTGTCGTCGAGGTGGAGGCTGTGTAATTTATCTGAAAATCGCTTGCAGCAGCAACACTGGAGAACCACGTGATGAATGACGCCCAGAAATCAACCTGCCTTAGG